GAAAAAAAGAAAGAAAGAACAAGAAAGAGTAAGAAAAAGAAAGAAAAGTGAAAAAGAAAGAAAAAAAAGAAAGAAAAAAGAAAGAAAGAAAGAATAAGAACGAAAGAAATGAGAAAAAAGAAAAGAAAAAAGAAAGAAAGAAAAAAGAAAGAAAGAACAAGAAGAGTAAGAACGAAAGAAATGAGAAAGAAAGAAAAAAGAAAGAAAGAAAAAAGAAAGAAAGAAAAAAGAAAGAAAGAACAAGAAGAGTAAGAACGAAAGAAATGAGAAAGAAAGAAAAAAGAAAGAAAGAAAAAAGAAAGAAAGAACAAGAAGAGTAAGAACGAAAGAAATGAGAAAGAAAGAAAAAAGAAAGAAAGAAAAAGAAAGAAAAAAAAAAGAAAGAAAGAACAAGAAGAGTAAGAACGAAAACAAAAATGAGAAAGAAAGAAAAAGAAAGAAAGAAAAAAGAAAGAAAGAAAGAAGAAGAGTAAGAACGAAAGAAATGAGAAAGAAAGAAAAAAGAAAGAAAGAAAAAAGAAAGAAAGAAGAAGAAGAGTAAGAACGAAAGAAATGAGAAAGAAAGAAAAAAGAAAGAAAGAAAAAAGAAAGAAAGAACAATTAGAGTAAGAACGAAAGAAATGAGAAAGAAAGAAAAAAGAAAGAAAGAACAAGAAGTGTAAGAACGAAATTAATGAGAAAGAAAGAAAAAAGAAAGAAAGAAAAAAGAAAGAAAGAACAAGTAGAGTAAGAACGAAAGAAATGAGAAAGAAAGAAAAAAGAAAGAAAGAAAAAAGAAAGAACAAGAAGAGTAAGAACGAAAGAAATGAGAAAGAAAGAAAAAAGAAAGAAAGAAAAAAGAAAGAAAGAACAAGAAGAGTAAGAACGAAAGAAATGAGAAAGAAAGAAAAAAGAAAGAAAGAAAAAAGAAAGAAAGAACAAGAAGAGTAAGAACGAAAGAAATGAGAAAGAAAGAAAAAAGAAAGAAAGAAAAAAGAAAGAAAGAACAAGTAGAGTAAGAACGAAAGAAATGAGAAAGAAAGAAAAAAGAAAGAAAGAACAAGAAGAGTAAGAACGAAAGAAATGAGAAAGAAAGAAAAAAGAAAGAAAGAAAAAAGAAAGAAAGAACAAGAAGAGTAAGAACGAAAGAAATGAGAAAGAAAGAAAAAAGAAGAGAAATCTCAAGAAGAGTAAGAACGAAAGAACTAACGAAACTGATAAACAAACAAATACCAAAGAAAGAAAAAAGAATAAAAGAAAGACCAAGAAGAAAAATAAAAATAAATATCATGAAAGTATCAATGCAAGTGCGTCAGTAAAGTCTTTTTAGAGTGCTTATGGGGATAATGCAGTGAATGAAAAAAAAATTGACAGAAGGTGATTTTCCCGTTTCCGAAGTCGGGATTTCAGTATGAAAAGGGTGGTCCAAAAGAACTTGATTCCGAAGAGTTGGAAGCAGTTGTCACAGACAATGCCACCATTACCTCTAGGGAATTTGCAGAACAATTTAATATAGACCATACAACCGTGATACACCAATTAAAAAGAATCGGAAAGATTTCAGCGGCCAGATAATGGGCCCCACACCAGCTATCTCCAGAGAATCCGCAATAGCCTGCTGCTTGTTGTGAATCATTGCTTTTACGACACTTTCAGTCACCATTTTTAAGTAGGCTTGTTACTGGTGATGAGAAGTGGGTCCTTTACCATAAGGTTAAACGCCGCTGATCGTGAATAATCAGCCGAGGAGGATCAGTTCAACCACCAAGAGAAGAACTTCACCCAAAGAAGATCCTGTTGAGTGTGTATAGTGGGATATTGAAGGAATTTTCCATTACGAATTGTTAAAAACAAACAATTACTGCTAATCTGTACTGTGATAAATTTCGTCGCTTGATAACAGCTTTGAACCAAAATGGACATTCTTTAGTGAACAGAAAGGGTGTCATCACCCCTCACGATAATGCTCGTCATCACACAATTCGGCTGACTAAAAATCTTTTGGGAAATATTGCTTCATACACCATATTCTCCTGACCTTTCTCCTCCTGATTATCACTTGTTTTGGGGACTACAGAATCATTTCGATGGTCTTAGGTTGACATCAAGAGAAGAGGTTGAAAATAAGTTGAATTTATATTTTGTTTCAAAACCTAAGGGATTTTACAGGCGTGGCATTTATAAGTTTGTTGACAGAAGGAATGTTGTTCTAGAAAGCAAAAAGAGGTTAAGTTAAACAATAAATATATTCATAACAATGGGCTTTTTAATTTTTAATATAGAACTTGAAATCGGAACATAATATTCTGTTGGTTTAACTTATTTTGGTATAAGGCTCTAATAGAAGTGCACTTAGGGAAGTTAAAATTCCTTCCTCTAGATAATAGCCAACACATGCTTCCAGGAAAATTCGAAACGACAATGGACATGGATGAGTCCAGGAGAAAAAATAACCCCAAAAAACAAAAACAAATTGACAATATAACCATCAACAAAAGATTCAGGAATGCAATGATTCACTGAAAAACCTACCCAAGTGAGGATTGCTGAAGCGATAATCATCCTGTTATATATAAACTAAGTGTGAAGCTGCGGAAATTGAAGAAGGCTAACGCAGCATCGAAACTGCAATACAAGAAACTCGTGAGCGACCCGAACCTAAAAGAAAAATATAAGGACAATGTGGAAGAAGACACAAAGGACACAATGGAAACTCGAAATGGGACACACCAAGAGACGCTTTAGTGACATCAGCAAAGGATATCATCCCAAAGGAGACGGAACGAAGAAGAAAAAACGAATAGGTGACTGATGAGTGTCTCGACATGGTGGAAAGGAGACAGAAAACTCTGCCAAGATATGGAACAGATACAGAAAACTACAGAATGAAATAAGCACCAAATAAAGGCAAGCTAAAGAAGAGTGGATAAACGAAAAATGTGCAGAAATAGAGAGATGGAGTACTATCAATTTACTACAATCAAAGATATGCACAAACAAATAAGGCAACTAACAGGGCAGAAAGCATGCTCGTCAACAGGCCGCTTAAAATAAAAGCATGGAACACTCATATTAGAGAAGGAAAATTCTTCAACGCTGGAGCCGGTATATTGAAGAACTCTTCCATGACGAAAGAGAACAGCCAGCAATACACAGAAATACTGACGGACCTGTAATTCTGAAAGCCGAAGTAGAAGTCGCCAAATTGAACAGAAACAAGGCGGCAGGGCCAGACGGAATTGTAACGGAAATGCTGACAGCCTTAGATGATTTTGGCACAGACAAGATCACAGGAATAATGAATGAAATTTACAACAACAGGGATATACCGGAAGACCTCAGCTGATCTATTTTCATAGCACTGCCTAAGAAACCAAGCGCAAAGGAATGTGAACTCCACCGAACAATCAAACTAAAGAGCCACGTAACAAAATTCATCATCCGTAATCTGATGAGTAGAACACGTAGTACAATCGGGCCAGAGATAGGACAAGAATAGTGCGGGTTCGTTAAAGACACCGGAAAAAGAAACGCGATACGCATGCTCAGAATGTTATCAGAAAGAGCGATGCAAATGCAGAAGGACGTGCACGCAAAGGCTTTAGACAAGAACCTATACTGGCAGCAAACATCATGCATGTGCATAGAGAACAAGTTCAGCGAATATACAAAAATAGAAAATGGCGTAAGGCAAGGGTGTGTCTTCTAACCGGACCTGTATACGGTGGGGCAATTCTGAGTGAATTGGAAACACTACTGGGATTCAGCACTGGCGGCCACGATCTTAGCAGCATAAGATACGCAGATGACACAGTACTGATAGCAGACACGAAAAAGAAATTACAAAACCGCCTACAGAAGGTAGCGAAGGAGAATGAGAAAAAAAGAAGATGGGATGCAAGCTCATTAGCAAAAGGATGAGCCGGAAATGCGATTTGCAGATCGGGGACATTAAAATCAAGTAAGTGCAGAAGTTTAAATATCTGGGAAGCATTTTGACATTTGGACGGTATATGTGACACCAAGATCCGTAAACGTATTGGGATAGCCAAGAACTCGTTCCAAAAACTGGGCAAAGTATTGCGTCACAGGAGGATTTCTTTGGTAACAAAGAAAAAGGTACTGACGTGTTATGTGAGATTTGTCCTCCTTTACGGCAGCGAATGTTAGATGGTCTCCTCAAAAATGAAGAAGAGACTCGAGGCGACAGAGATGTGATTCTACAGAAGGATTTTGAAGATATTATTAACCGGGCGATGTGAGCAACGATGAGGTCTTAGAGTTGATGCAAATAAGGAAGAGGCTTATACTTAACATTAGGAAGAGGCAGCTGAAGTTTCCGAGACACATAATAGGGAAGGAGGGCCTGGAGAATCTGATACTCGAATAGACGGAAAGAGAGAGGAGGAAAAGCAGCGCAAGACATACCTAGCGGGCTTAAGCAAGTGGATGACAGAACGTCGACAGGTGGGTGTGGCAGAGGGACGGAGTTTTTTTGAAAGCTTCAAAGATTAGATGGAAGTGGAAAGCCATGATCGCCTACGTCCTGAAAGGATATGGAATATAAAAAGAAAGAAAGATACTGTTCAAAGAATCGTTTTTTTTGTAAACGATTAAAGAAGAAGGTACTTATAAGCTTTCTCTCACTTTTTCCGCAAGTCGAATAATTTCTTGAACCTACTGAAAAAGCTCCGGTTGTATAGAAGCACCTCCATGAGCTGGTCGGTGAGTGCCCGAATTCAGGTAACAATCAACTCCCACCCACATAAAGGTAAGGTCCACTATCGCTAAGGCACGTCGTGTGGGGTTGGCGCTCTGGAACAACCTGCACGCGGTGTACCCTGCTTAGACCAATTTTGCCAAAGCAAGACCGAGCGCTGGACAGCAGTTAAGTAAACCGGCTAACCTAGAGTTTCTAAGGAGGGTAGTGAAACCCTGATAGAGGAAATGACATCGAAGCTTCTCTCTAGACACACTTTGTACATTAGTAGACATGCACCAAGGCGGACCCAAACAGACATGGACTTGCCACTGAAACCGTCTTTTCTGGAGCTAAGTGCGAGAACTTGTCACTCGCGGATCGAGCTTCTACCTCACTTGGAAGCCCACAGAGGACAGACGAATATGGAAGGACAGTGTAGTCGTCAGCAATGACGGACAGCCTTAAGCAGCAAGTCACGTCGTGTAGATATGATTAGTAAGAAGTTAGTATAACTCTCATGGGTTCAGTCCTCACTGGGTGTCACATACTTTTGATGTTGCAACAAATTAATACAAACTTAGCATTTATCAACCGTTCTATCCAAATATATGCGGGTGGAGTAACGGGTAACAATTTAAAACAAGAAATCGGATGGACGAGATCGAATTTCAGTCGGGTTCCTTATATCCACTGACACGCAAATAACCTCGGAAAAGGTATAATTCATCTCCTACCCCACTTAAGGGTTAAATAGTATGAGCTGTATAGGGAAAATCGTTGTTTTCTCAAAAAAAATTGTTCTTATAATCTAAAATATGCGTCGGCTTTAAATAATCCACAAAGGGTTGATACACCATAAAATCATTCAAATAGCTATATTTCCTTGTGTCATAAGTTCGCCTTCTGACTATGAGGCTCGGGTTCGAATCTCACCATGGTCTATTTGTCAAGAAGGTGGCTTCTTGGTGTTATAAGTCGGGGGAGAGGGTCGATTTGAGTATGCGGCATCCTTGGTAAAGTGCCTGAAAACCATACTACCGGTTGACCCAAACCTTGTGAGGGTACGCTTGGGGGACGTCGATAGCTATGCTAGCACGATTTCAGAAGTCATCGTGACCGAGGGTTTGTTGTTGATCACGCTAGATAACATTCTCTTCTCCATAAACTGTAACATAGGCGTGCTCAGCATAGTTGCAGTATAAACCACAAGTGGGCTTGAACAAATGTGCCTGAGCAGGCGTCTGCACTAGGGATTAGCTAGCCACCCTGGTAGACAGCTATCTTCGAATACAAGTGGCCACACACACGCACACACACACACACACACACACACATACACACACACACACAAACACACACACACATATATATATATATATATATATAATTATTTAAAAATATGATTCCAACGCTATATATATTTTTAAATAAATAATTATATTTATGCTCTACTTTTGTATCTAGCACTATTTTTTAAAAATAATAACAAAAATACTAAAGAACTTTGGATTATTTACCTAACGAGTTCTTTCCTATTTTCTATATATTTTTACACACACACACACACACATATATATATATATAAATATAAACTTCAATCTTCCATGAATCTCTCACGTAAATTAATAGCTGCTCATGGCGTATTAAATGTAAACAAATGACGTCACACATTATGAAATGGACAAAGTCTGACAATTATTTTAAGACATTTTATGTTTATACATTCTTTTTATAGATGCACATATTTAAGTAAATGCTCTGTTTATAATAAACAGTATTAACAACATTTACCGACCTGAATGTCCGAGAAATTTTCACAGGAAATATTCGTATACATATATATATATATATATATATATATATATATATATATATATATATATATATATGTGTATACTCTCGACTCTCTCCCGTTGAATTCGACGTATGAGGTTCAAGCAGATCAGTTCCTAGGAACCGACAGCCCCACACCAGCACCTGAGATTTGATTATAGTGGTGAAGGTTTTGTGCAGAACCATCCAAACTGTTTGAAGGGCCGAATCCAGAGACCTGGTCCACTACGTGCTACGCGGTGTCTAAACTCCTCAGGTTTTGAATTCAGAGTTTTCGTTCTCCTAGAGTAGTTGCTATCCAAGGTCTGTCCTGCTATTTATCCATGGCTGGTGGAAGAAGAGGAGGATTCATAACTTTCGCAAGGGTATATTGGCACGTAATTGAATGTAATGGATATATACACAATCCATTGCTAAAGATGGAACTTCCTTGTATAGCTCCGGTAAGTACTTGACTACTTCTGCTATATTCTATCTTTACAAGAACTAAAAATGAAGTCCTGTCATACCTGAGCTGGAAGCGGCCAATTCTAACTTTCCAGATCTGATAGAATTCTAATGCATCTATGCGATCTTGTGGCTTGCTTTTCACTATAACCCCCCCACCTTTCCCATCTCTCACTACTCTATCGCTATTACCAAGGCAAATGCTTTGACGATCTACTTAGTACCACCAGATACAGCATTAACGGCTAAGACTCTCCATGCCACGTACACTGCGATGAACAAATCGCCATTCCCTCCGGATTCATTTAGTAAGAAGGAAATTCCACGAGGACAGCTTCTTCCCAAGAACCGCTACTTTGACCCCCGAGGGGATGCTCTCCCAGTCACTACAATCTTAATCTCTTCAAGTCTAAGGTCAACCATTATATTCCCATATATCGTTATAAACTGCACTTCTTACCTCCTCCTTTCACACTTATACAGCATTCAGTAACCCTCTATTTTGGGTGACCATTTAAACTTTATATTGGATGAATATTTGTCAATAAAAAAGGTAAATCTATCTATCTATCTATCTATCTATCTATCTATCTATCTAAGTCTGTTCATATCTATCTATCTATCTATCTATCTATCTATCTATCTATCTAAGTCTGTTCATATCTATCTATCTATGTATCTAAGTCTGTTCATATCTATCTATCTCAGTGTGGTAGAGTAGTTTTCACAGTGGAGGCTTGTATTTCAATAAGTCGTCCTAAATTAGGTTCGACGTACAAAACGTTAGGAACTTGGAAATAAGGGTTAACGACGCAGCAATCTTGTTGTGATGGTTGGTACTTCAATGTCCGCTCAACACCACTGAGCCCAACTGGCGACCGCTACTACTATTAATTATCTGTGGGAGAGTCCATTACAATAGAATAGGTATTATGGCATAACACTCAGTCTGTTCATATCTATCTATCTATCTATCTATCTATCTATCTATCTATCTATCTATCTATCTAAGTCCCTTATCTATCTATCTATCTATCTATCTATCTATCTATCTATCTATCTATCTCAGTTTTGTTCATATCTATCTATCTATCTATCTATCTATCTATCTATCTATCTATCTATCTATCTATCTATCTATCTAAGTCGATTCATATATATCTATCTTTCTCGCAAGCTAGCAAGTTAAGTCTTTTCATCTCTGTCTCTCTATCTATCTTGCTGTGTCTATCTATATACAGGTATGGGGATAGCAGGCTAATTTTTTCTATAATATTCATACAGTAGGGGGTACACATATGGTGGTCTTTGGACAGACTAAGTCGAGTTTAGTAAATAAGAGGAGGAAAATCACCACAGAAGAAAAATACAAGAGAAGAAAAAAAAAAAGAAGAAGAAAAAAACACAGGTCAAGATTTGCAGAAAAAGAAAAAAAAACAACAAAAAAGACGTACTTATTTAAAAATGGTCAACGCCAGACCAGATACAATCAATAAATATGCCAAGGGAAACAACAAGATGAAACGTTTCGGACTAAAACAAACAAGAGTAAATCCTGTAGTGAGGAAATCCACGAACGTTACCTATCATCACTAAGCTCAAACACATCTGGCATAGAGCAAATGTTAGCAGACCCGTATCTAGTGCACCAATACAACCATGTTATCATTTCGAATATCTCATTATAGCTGGTAATGATCTTTTAAGCGTAGCTTAGATGTTGCACAAAGATGAAAGTATAGGTCATCCAGTGAGGATCGAACTCACTACTCAGTCGTAATGGATTTAGCGAGACAAACTTGCTAACCATTACCCCGCGTCGAGGTGCCAACCCATTGTAATATGATATTTACTAAACTCAACTAGGCATTGTAAGAATTAACAAAAAGTTGGGAGCCTTTTGGAAAACAATCTTTCTAAGCAAGCCTGTCTCTCGGACATAAATAGAATTGTCTTATGATTTTTATCGCCCCATTATTGCTGATCTTTACCAAATACAACTAGACATTGCAAGAATCGAAATGCAGCGTGTAGACTCTTGGTATAACAATATTTCTTAGTAATCTAGTTTCTCACAAAATAATGCAACCATTTCGATCGACTCAGTAGTGACTCCATGGTGCATTTTGGATACAGTTTATTCTGGATTGACCACAAGCAGAAAAGTCAACATATAGTTAGATTTCCAATTCAGATAACACTAGAATTTGCGCATCCTGAGTATGACGATAAACTACATCTACGTCCTGGGAAAGACGATAAACTACATCCAACAGCAAGGCTTCTGACCAGGATCATTCGAGAAGCATGGAAACACCTCTTAATTGCTGGTGTTCCCAGGTCCAACATGTAGTAGCACCTGTTAGGGTCCCAGCTATGGGCAAAGAGTTAACTATTACCAGCAATACTTTTTTGAAAAAATTTATTACCAGCAATACAATTTTGAAGGAAAAATATTACCAGAAACAGATTTTTGACGAAACAAAATATTACCAGCAATAAAAAATGTTGTCGGCATTAAATAACCACTGAGGTTGATATGCCGTAAAACAAAATAAACCAAACCAATCTAAACCAAAGAATACATATTCTATTCATACGAATCTATGGGTAAATAGTTAACCCCTAAACTGGGATCAAAACACGATGAAAGTGTAAAAATATGTTTTAATACCAGAAATACTTTTTCGTAAAAAAATATTACTAGAAATACATTATTACCAGCAATACATTTTTTGAAAAAAATATTACCAGCTATACATTTTTTGAAGAAAATATTACCAGCAGTAGATTTTTGAAGAAGATAAATATTACCAGCAATACATTTGGGGAAAAATATTACCAGCAATAAAAAAAAGTGTCTGCATTAACAACCCATTGAGGCTGATATGCTGTAAAACAAACAAACTAAAACTAGATATTGCAATAGACAATATTGTACACCAACAAGAAAAAGTAATGGCTGCAGATATTGTCATTTATAGTTGTAAAATTCGACAGATGTCTGTTTATGACCCAACTGAAAACATGTTTGTCTAT